AGACAATATTTAATTGGGTAATGTTTTGTTTCTCTTACTGATACCAATCTCTGCCTTTTAAATGGAGATCTTAATCTGCTTATATTAGTTGTTTTTATTGTATCCTCCATTTTGATTTATGATTTCTGTATCCTTCCCCCATTGGTGTTAAAAGTTAGCTTCTATTCTTGTGATGTTGACAGGTGGGGTCTTTTGGGAAGTGATTAAGTCATCAGGACTCTGCCCTTGTCAACAGGATTAATGCCTTTACAAGGAAAAGAAATTCTGAGGAGCTGCTCGCCCCTTCTAACTCCTGCCATGTGAGGATATAGCAAGTATCCCATTTGTCTCTTTGCCTGCAGGAAAAGTATAACACAATACTTGTCTTTTCTTCCACTGTGGGAAGGTGTTGTCCTCAGACTTCAAGTCTGCTAGGTCATCTTGGACTTTCCACCTTCTAGAACTGTGAGAAATAATTTTTATTATTACCCACTCTGAAATAGCAGGAATGGACTAAGATGATGTTTTATGTCTGTTTTGTTCTTTTTGTATTACTGTCTTCTCTCATGTTAAATATGTGTGTGTGTGTGTGTGCACACACAATGAAGAGTACAGATTTAACAAAATTAGTTTAGGAAAGTCAGTAAACAAAAAGCAACTACAATAAGAAGCAAAAATGACAACACCAGGGGACTCCATATAGGACACAGTTTCGAACTTATAATTTCTGAAATGCAATTGACCACAGGTGACTGAAGCCATGGACAGCAAAACTGAGAATAAGGTGGTCCTAAAATCACTAACTACATATATGTCACTCCTTTTGTGATCCACAGAGAACCCTATACTATAGTCTTTCTGGCTTTCAAGACCGATACTTAATCCTCCTGACATCATAAATAAATAGCATATCAATAACCCTCCATAGCCTGGAAATACTAGAAATGTTCAGGAAAATAATACACAATCAGAAGCATCCCGACTTGTTCAGTGCATCTCTCTTCTAAATAACAGTTCTATTACTTTGTCCTGTGTGTACTCTCTTAATGTAAAGCTCAAATGTCTTATAGGAAATAAACCTTCTAGTAAGCTGACACAAATGATGCAAAGTGAATTGGAAGTTAGAGGAGGATTTTATCTAGAAATACTTTCCCTAAGAGAAATATGAGTGTCTGTCTTAGATAGATGGAAGGAAAGAAGTGGTGACATTCTATCAGTTTCTTATGCGGGGCTGTAATGTAATGATACCAAGATATTCTCATTAGTCCTAGCTTCTTTTCGTGTTTTCTTTTCTTCTTTCTTCTTGCTAGGTTTGCTAACTTTAGCACATTATCCAATCTGTTCAGTAAGACAAATACCACTAGGATGTATGAACTGTTTCCTACTCCAATTTTCACTAAATAAGTCAGTGCTTAAACTGTGTTTGCCTGGGATGAGGATGTACTGAAGTCAAGACTGAATGATTCCCAGTTGTTGAGTACATATCAGGCATTTTTGGGTGTGTGTTTTGGTGGCCAACATCCATTCCCTCTTCTTCAGTTAAGATCACCTTGACTACCATATTTTAACAAAATTTCCCTTCCTACTTCTCAGTTTATGAGCACCCATATGACTGCCCCCAGAAGTAGCTACATGAGCCATGCTTGGTCAGTCAAATTTCCTGGCACTGGAATTTGATTCTTGAGCAGAACAACCCCCTCAAATAATGCAGCTTTCTTTTCACTACAGTAGGCCACTCAGAAAAATGACTTTCTTAGATCTGGCTGCTGCCTTTCTGTCTTATAACCTCCTTAGATTCACATTTTAAACATTTCCTTCTATTGGGATCACTATTCAAAACACTTGCGATAAATCTAAGTTTGTCTCTCTTGTTACCCTGAATACGTTTCTTACAAAAGTCAAAACAACATAACCAACATATTGGCAAGCATCTCACGTAGACGTATACAGCACTAACAAACCATCCAGCACTGCTGAACACAAGGTCACCATGAGGTGTCCAGTAAAGTCATGGAACCAATCTTCAGCCAACATCCCACATTCTCCAAGACTTTTGCCACACTAAGGATGCTTTGCAGGAGAGAATTAGATGTCCAATTAATACCTTTATTCTTTTCAATACTTTCCAATTTAAGAATAGTCTACCTGTACAACTGTTCTCTACTTAGTTTCATACTTTTCATCAGCAGAGGGGCCACATTATGATTAATTTCAAAATATTTTTATTTCCTTTTAGAGCAAAATATCTCCTCTAACAAAAAAAGAATTATTTTTAATGCTTTTGGCATTTTATACTCCATTTCATACATTTCTATGCACTTATTGATAGTAGGAAGTTAATCTTACCCAAACTAGACAGTAGAAATATATAAGAACACCATATGCAATTTTAAATTTCCCAGTAGCCACATTTAAAAAGTAGAAATAAGTAAAATAAATTTAATACCTTGAAGTTATATTTAACATTTTATTTAACACAGTACATCTAAAATAACAGTTCAACATATGATTTATATAAAATTATTCATGAGATATTTTACATTATTTTTATCTATAAAGACTTTGAAAGCCAATGTATAATTTACACTTAGAACACATCTCAAATCAGATGCAAATTTCCCCTAGAAATACATGGTCAATATATAGATTTCATGCTTTATAACTGAAACGGTCGATTTGTATAACCAAGTTGTTTAAACATACTCAAAGTTTTTTTAATAAATTAATGTAGTACTGGTTTTTAAATTTAAATTAACTGAAATTAAATGCAATTGAAATGCATTTACCCTATTGTATTAGCCACATTTCAAGTGCTCATTTCATGTGGCTAGTGAACTCTCCAGGCATGTGTGTTTAATCAGGGTTAGAAGAAACGTTCAAACATCTGTGAGCTCTCACTTGGGAGGTTCTGACATTTTAAACATGCCACAGTAACTTCCATCGTTGAAAGAGACAGATTTTTACTTGCGGTATTATGATTTGAATGTGTCACATAAAAGCTCATGTGCTGGAATTTTAGTCCCCAAATTCATGTTAGGAAATGGCTTGATGAAGTCCCAGAAATGGGTCCCCTGTGATGGACTTCATGGCTGTCTAAGAAGAAAAGAGTCAAAGCTAACACACACGCTCTGTGTCAGATGTTCTGCTTTTCCTCTTGTGTACTTTTTCCGAGTCTTTTCTTCGTTTTATTTAGGATGGTTCCTGTTACAATGCTTTCAAGTGCACAAATGTCATGGGAGGGGGACAGCGTCAAAACTACTGTTAATACCATCTGTGATGTCCTATATTTTTGCTTTCGTCTCCTTTGTTGAGGTCATGGAATGTATCTACTATGGTTGCTATAGCCAAGACATGGAGAACGTTTTTAAAAGCTGCTTGAACACCCTTCTCTTCCGTTGTACGTGCCACTTCTGAGTCTCTTCTCCCTGAATGGTGTTTCCCTTGGTTATTGGTTATTTTATTGGTTATTGGTTGTTATTTCTCTTGGTTATTGGTGACACTTCTCTGTTTTGCGTGATTGAAATTTCCTGACAAATGCTGGACTTTGGAAATGTTATATTACTGTGTGCCTGAGCTTTGTTTGAATTATTTTGTTATTGCTAATTTTTATATTCCTTTAAGTATTGAGGAGTTGTTGTTTTTTCTGGAATGCTGTCCAGTCACTTGGAATCATTTGATCATTTTCAGGCTTACTTCTTAAGCTTGTTCTTTCCTCCCTGAGTTTATTGGTACATTCTAGGTATACAGCACAGTTACATTCATCATTGGGATCTTGTACCTCTACATGACAGGTCTTGGTTCTCATTTTTTCCCCCTTGTCCCTGCCCTCCCTTCACCCCTCCTCCCCTCCCCCTTCACAAACATTTTATTTCCATTTTTTCATTTTCTCATATTTTTTCCCTTTCCCTTATTACTTTTCCCCTACCCTTCCCATTTTCCCTACGCCTTTAGCCCTTTTCTTCCTATTTCACATTGTAAAGGCGAACTTAGAATAATCTTCAGCCTAGATATAATTTGACCCCATTACTGAGGCAACATCGCTCTGAGAAGTCCCCCATATTAGGAAATCTTTCCACTCTGGTCGGTGGGACCTCTGTGAGACCCTGTGGGAGCTCTAAGGATCAACCAGGTGACATCTTTCCAGCAGTTCTCCTAACCTCAATAGTTTCCTCACACGCACATACAGAAGTTAGTTTTCAGCCCAAAAAGAAGGATCCATCTCCTCACCTCCAGAGTCTTCTTGTACTCTTTTTCAGTCTTAATCTGTAGGAACTGCCATAATGAAACACCAAGGCCTGAAAGCTTATATAAAACAAAATTTATATCTAGTAGTGTTAGAGGCACCAGACTCTAGAAGATACTAGAAGCCCAAGTCCAAGGCACCAGCAGACATGGTGTGCAGGGAGAACTCTCTCTGGTTTATAAATAGTGCCTTGTCCCTGTGCTCTCACTTGGCTACAGGTTAGGAACAAGCTCTTTGGGCCTATTTTATAAGATCACTAATCTCATCCCCGAGGCTCTGCTCTCACGATTTAGTCATCTTCTAAAAGCTTCTACAACCATCATCTTTGGGATTAGGATAGGATTTAAATATATGAATAGGGGTGAGAGGCAAACATTGCGAGCACAGTTCAAGACCACAGAGCTCTGTCTGGGTCCCCATCCTAGGAAGGCATTGACCCAGGGCACTGGTTTCCCTTCTGTTAGGAATCACGGTCAGCTTTGCGCATTGCCCGATGTCAGAAAATTGTTGTTTTCTATACTTTGTCTAGTTTTCTAGTTGAGTAAGGGAAGAAGATAAATCTAGTTCCTGTTATGCTACTGTACCAAAATATATAAAGCTCAACTGCTGCTCATTTAATAAATATTGATTGAATTCCTGCTGTGTATGAGAAATGGTGCAGAGACTAGGCACGGACCATTGGACTAAAAGACATACAGTCTCGGCCCTCGTGGTTACCACAGTTCAACAGGGAAAAACAATAATTAATTGACTGAATAAAGATGCAATATAATCATGAAAAGTGATAGAAGAGAGAGCAGAGAGCTATGAAAGCATACAGCGGGAAGAACTAATTCAGTCTGGAAAAGCAAGATGTTTCCCAAAACAAAGGTCATTTTAACTAGGACTTGAGGAATAAGGAAGATTTGGTCTCTATGTTCTGAAGGGTAGGAACACTGCCAAAGACCTAAGACGGAATGGAATCACTAGGGATCGTGGGGTCCAGCTCTTAGATTCCCCCGTGAAGACACAGAAGCTCAGAAAGCTTATTACACATGCTCATGGCACCCCAGAGACTAAAATGAGGGCTTGTTACCTTTGGATCTAGCACTCTTTCCATTCCACTATATTACTAAGCAAAGGTACAGAATACTAGAACATTTTCTGTAATAATATTTGCCATTTTAGGTTCTATGATATATTATAGGTAATACATAATTGTAAAATTTATTTTTATTTTAAAATAAATACGGCCAAAACATTATTCAAGATATGCTTCTAAATGGCAACGTTTTATATATTTACAAAGTATATACTGTAAAGTGTAAAAAAACCTGCAAAACAGCACAAAACAGAAAAGAATAAGCACTCCCACATTTAGTACATTGAAGCCATAACAGCATCATAATGGCCTGGAAGTGTTAACGCAGATCCCTAAGTGGCTAAATTATACCCAGGAGATTCCTGCTCAGCAGTGTAAGCTGTTAGTGCTTTCAGACATTTTGGAAAATGCATCCATTGCCCCATTCCAAGCCTAATTGGCATAATAAATGTCAATTAAAGCTTCTTTAAAGTTTTAAATTGCAAAACTTAAGTGCAACTACATGTATAGAGACTTATACAGGACTCTGGAGAAAGAAATCTCCCCTAAAAGAGATACAATGTATTTCTGTTTATCACTAATGATAAATACACCCAGGAACCTTGCAGTTACATAGTAAGGAAATTTTCCTCAGCTTTCCTAAATGTACCCTTAATCAACAAATTCAAACTGTTGTATGTCTGCTATGTCAGCAGAATTCAGTTTTCTTCCAACAAATACACAGAAGGTGTCAACTACATGCCAAGACTGGAAATACAGTAGTGACCAAGTAAACATACAATGCCCTACCCCATTCATACGGACAGATCCTCTAAGGCACGCTGGGAAGCCCTTTTCTGTCATTGATTTTATGTCTTCATGACTCCTTTCTTAATTTTTAACTATGAAGCTTAAAAGACAATTATTCATCAAGTGTAAATATGAAACAGGGTCTTTGTTAACTTCTGAACTTGGCCAAAATATTTTTATGTCTTATGTATATAGTGCATTTATATACGTGTCCACAAATTCAATTTTAGTTTAACAAGAAGCCCAAGCTGCCAGTTCGTTGAAATCATCTTCCTCTTCGGTTCTTCTGGAAGATGCTGGAATACAAAAACAGTAAAACTTAAGTCACTGGAGTCATTCACACTTTCAGCACAGAAAACAAAATGAATTATGTATAAAGTGTGTTAATTCATGAAGTCAAATATAAGTGCTTAACAGGGTGCGTCTGGCTATGACTTTAGTAAGCTAGGAGAACACATGTAGTGGATTTTTGTAACAGACCTGTGCGAGACCTATGTGCACTCGGCTTTCTATCTGGCTGTGCCACGAGAGAAGAGGAAGGCACTTTCGGAAGCCGGATATTTGTCATCTTCTTATTTAATTCCTCCTGCTCCAGTTCTTCAAGTTCTGCCATCAACTCATCCTGAATGCAGGAGAAAGGAAGAATTAGAGAGTTAACGTTTCAAGAAGTGGGTTTCCTTAAACACAATAACAAGAACATCTGCTACCCAATTGATATGTGAGAACCCAGTGAAATGGAATATTTATTTTGAAACTAAGCCTGTTTTGCAACACTGAGCAATGATTAAAAAATGAATATTTGGGGTTGTGCAAATTTGTTGTAGTTAATCTTATAATACTTCAGCAAACAGCCATTCAAGTAATTTGCGCTAGCTGAATATATAATCTCTTCAGTTTCTGGGAAGTTTACACCTTGCCTGTCATTTTTCCAATATGTTCTTTTCTCCTGTTAAGAAGCTGTGAAACTTTAATTAAAGAAAACAAATATTTTTATTTGGGCTAATGCTACTGAGAAAACAAATATAGCGAGACCATAATGCACAAAAACTAAAAAGAATCAAAGGTACTTTGGCTCCTTTGTCAAATCACCAGTCAATATAAATCATGCATGCATTTGAGGTATTAAAACTTAATTCAACATAAATATAACATATTTTCTCTTTTAACAGTGATCCTTGTGAGTTTAGTTTATTCTAAAATAATTCTGTGTTTAAAAATGCAGAAAGGCAAAATTAGTTCAAGACTGTAAGGATGTAGATCGCCTATACCAGGCCTGAGATGACTTGAAATAGTTCATATCTAGCTGTCCTTAGGTCCTCAGTTAGAGACCAACTCCCCTCAGAAGGAGGAGTTTTAGTCAAAACTAAATTTGTCATCATGTGTTTCTCACGTCATCATACTAAGAAATATCCTAAATAGTTTCCCTGGTGTGAATTATCTGCAACAATGCATAAGATCCTAATAAGATTACTGACATTTAGAAATGGGAAGAAAGGAGCTAAAGGCGTAGGGAAGGTGGGATGGGTAGGGGAAGGGTAATAAGGGAAAAAAATGTGAGAGATTGAAAAGATGAAAATAAAGTGTTTGTAGATGGGGAGGGGAGGAGGGGGTGAAGGGAGGGCAGGGGTAAGGGGAAAAAATGAGAATCAAGACTTGTCATGTAGAGGTACAAGATCCCAACAGTGCATGTAACTGTACCGTATCCCTAAAATGTACCAATAAACACAATTAAAGCTGAAAAAATAAAGAAATACCCTAGTGAGAAATGAATAAACACTTATATTCAACCAAGTAAATTATTTATTTCTTCATTCACTCATAACAAATGTATTAAGACTTCCATCCTGGGAAGGTTTTGAACTCAGCACTGGGGGTCAAAAGTTAAATAAACACTCTCTACATTCAAGGAGCTCATGCCTGAATTTGGGATAAAGACATACAAATAAATATATTAAATGGAGAATTACAAGACCATGGAGCAAGAGAGAAGACAGTTAAGTCACTCACTCGATAAGCAAGTCAATTAGTATCAACTTTGTAGTGTGCTATCTGACCTCTATTAAGTCAACTACACGAAAAGGAAACAAAATGTGAACGTGTATAGTCTCAGTGAAATGCCATCATCAAAATAAATATGTGTTTTGTGGTGTTCCACAGGTTCTATAAATAAAATGATATCAGGCTAAATTTTCTGATGTTCTATCTCTGCTCACAAAGCAATTAGGAATATGGAAACTACATTTATATCAGAATAAGGTATCATCTGCTGAATTCATGCCCAGAATTGCAGATAGTGCTTGATATTTAGACACAGCACCAAAAAGATATTGATGCTTTCTTTACAAATAAGATGACAGCAGAGTAGTCAGCTCCACCATGATTTTTAGCTTTTGGATACCAAGCACTTATTTGATCATTATAAAATAGTTGCAGAACTTAAGAAATTTTGAAGATAATCCAATAGTTTCCACTTTATAAATGAGAAAACTAAGGGTCAGAAAAATAAAGGGATTTATTTAAGTTTTTGCTAAATGGTAGAATCAAAATGTCCCCATCAACCCAGTCCCTTTCCACCGTGTCATACTGTACTCTTTACACTGTGGGCCTGCAAACTTATTTATGAATGGCCAGTCAGTAACTTTTTAGACTTCACAGGCCACAAATCTTCCCCTGGCATGTTGTCTTCTTTACTTTTATTCTCTACACTTTAAAATGCTAAAACCACTGCCATTTGTCACTATGAGAATGATGTGGGCTACAAGCCATATTTTGCCAAACCTCGATCCATTTTTAAAAGTTGTAAACACTGAATTCTCATTTTCTAGGATTCCATGAGACCAAATATTTACTTGTAAGCTGTAACATTTTTAATAAAAGCAAGAAGTTCAATTCTTTGCTATGCTACTCCAATATTTCTAAATGTGTCCTAGTCCTACTTGTGTAAGCATTGAGTAGAACAATTGAAATTCACAATGTAGACACCATCATTATAATTACAGACTGTATTATTGGACTTGATTAATCTGAATGGAATGTGTGTGTTAATAATGCCACTCCACATTTGTTCTGTTTCATAGCCTGTGTCATAAACAGAGGCAGCCTAACCTCTAATTTAATAGCTACAGAGCATGGTATGTCTGTTCTTTGCAGACTGACACAGTCTGCTTTGTTTGCCCAGATGTGCTAGCATGTGATTCCTTGTAATAGGGTTATCTGGGCTCCAACCATTAAAAGTCACCAACTTTACATAATCACATGCTGCTTTTCCCTTAATAGCTGAAAACTTAATTAGGAGGCTGTATGCCAAACTATATTAATCTTTCCTTTAAATTGGAGCTGCTAATGTTTCATTTACCTCCTAAGAGAAGTACATTTGCAACAACTACCATTTATTCTTAAAGTAATAAAAGAAATGACAACTTCATTTTACAGGAAGCTATGCTTTATAGCAGCTACAATACCACATTGTTTATGTTATGTTACCCACCTCATCAAAGCCGTCGCCAAATCCAACCCGTTGAGAAAATGCTTCTGAGATTTCTTGGGCAATATCCTGTTGCTCTGTGATCTCTTGCATCAAATCATCAATTTTGTTCAGATCCCTGGGAAGTAATATTGAAATATTTGTCGAAATATTTTATAATTTAGTGAACTTAGGAATAAATTCATATGAAAAATGAGTCCATGTAAACTAAATTATTTCAGTAGCATAACAAAAAATCCTGGTGATAATATTTTTAAAATAATTTTTAAAAAATAATTTGTATTTTAAAATTAACAATCCTATAGATTCATACATTAAATATTAAGTAAATAGCCATTATCATTGGGAGTCATTAGAAATCAAATTATTTTACAACTAATACTATTTATGGAACCATTTTGAAAATGGTAGGGCATATGTAAAAGTTAAATATATGCTGCTGTGTATTACCTCTGGGAAAAATGGTATCATGGAACACCAAGGACCACCATGACCAAGCCAAGTGTGCCAGCTTTCAGTAGTCACTCCGAAAGCAGGCCTCTGTAGATGTTAAACTCTGGGGCTAGAGAACTATTTTCTATAATACCTAATATCTCTGAGATCTGGCTCCCTGAGGGTCTCTAACAGTGGTGATGTTCTGGAGGTTACTAAAGACAGCAGGATGAAATCTCCTAAGTCCTCAGAAGAATCAACAATCACAGCAAGTAATCCAAGAAGCCACAGGGCAGATGTCTGATTCAACAACAGTTTCTAGCACCTGAGTCCCACTGGCCTCTACCCTTCAGCCTGTTAGTGTCTAAAGGCCACGTTCTGGGCTGTTTTTAATAACACTCCACCTCTGAACCATTCCTTTAACTCTCAAAGTAAGCAAGACTCACTGAACACAAGAAAAAATGATACCTCCCTTTATTACTAAGTAACCAGAACACTGGAAGTTTGAGTTCCCAGGGGAATTCATCTTTTTTTGAGTTTCTCAGACTCTGTACACCATAAAAAAGCTGCAGACTTTGACATATTTTATGTAGTAATGAAAAAGAATATTTTTACCACTCTCCTACCACCCTGTAGCTCCCATCTTTATTATTATATTACAATGACTGTAATGATTAAATGGAATATGAGAAACGTATGGCTACAGTTTGGAGATGGGTGAATCTTCCTCAGAAGGAACACAATGGCATGACGATGCTAAGTTACTGGAGAGAAAGGCTAACTTTGCAGCACATTGGAACTCCCAGGTTACAGCAGCAACAGAGTATTGTGAGTCTGATAATGAATCTGATGCTCTCTCTAAAGCTGCCAAAGTGGTGGCTGATGTTAATGAATTATCAAGTCAAAAAAATTTTGGTAAGGTTATCTCCACTGGCCCATCCTCTCCCTTTTTCATCTTCACCCACCATATAAAAATTTGTCTACATTCTTCAGTCACCCATTGCTCTTATGCACCCCGGGTCCCGAATCCACTATGGTGTCCAGTATCAAGAAAGGATTGAATCTCAGGCATTTATTTTCCAGAGCAAAAGTAAAGCAAATCTCCACCAGCCTCACTGTCAATAGAAACATGGATAATCAAGTGAAGACTCTGTGCCAGGAATTCTGCTCACTTTGTTCTATCATTGTGTTTCACAGCAGCTGCACAAAGGACATTCCATTATTATCACCAATTTACGTATGAGGAAACTAAGTTATGGAGAGGCAAAGCAATCTGACCAAAGGATAATCAACTATACAACTAGGAATATAAACCCAGGGATTTGATCTCTAAACTGTAGAAGTTGATCTTGATAAGTATTTTTCTGGGTCAGTGGTTCTCAAACATAGGGTAGAATCAGAATCACTTGGGAACTTGGCTAAAGATGAAAAGGCCATAAAAGGGGAAGGGGGAAAAGGAGGGGAAAGAAAAGGGAAAAGGAAAAGAAAAAATGTGAAAAAATGAAAAAATGGAAACGAAGTCTTTGTAAATATAGGGAAAGGGGAAGGGAGGGCAGGGGTATGGGGGAAAAAACAAGAACCAAGATATATCATGTAAAGATACAAGATCCCAATGATAAATGAAACTGCATTGTTTGCTTTAAATGTACCAATAAACTTAATGAAAAAAAAAAGAAATCATATCCTAGTTCAAAGATTCAAATTCATTCTCTCTGTCAGCACTTTATCCAAACGATTCTTATTCCTGTCAAAGTTTTGGCAACTACAATCTTACAGGGCTAACATCCCCCCAGATATTGACAATGAAGTCTTTTTAAAGTTATAAAATTAAATTATTCACTTTTAGACAATCATGAGGAAAATGAGAAACACTAGAAATGGACTCCCTTCTATTTTTCATAAATTTCTTCTTTTGGTGTTGTTACTGTAACCTCCAAATTCCCCCTGACAAAGCATCCCATTCAATAAATTAAAAAGCTTCAGATGCATGAGCCCATTCCACCAAAACTCATCATAATTTCAAAGGCTTTTCCAGTTTTGAGGATATTAATGATTGAAAGGAATGCCAAAGTCACTCACATGTTTTCATGAACTGCTTTCATTGCTTTCGCTGCAAGGCCCATGTTTCTTAACACCTCAGTGTTGGTGTGCGAATTCTCCAGGGCTTCTCTCTGAAACTCAATGGTGGAAAGGGTGCCATCGATCTGAGTAAGCTGCTTCTCAAACTTCTTCTTCCTTTTTAGTGCCTGCAATGCAGCTGCAGAAGGAAAAGGCCACATTTGTGAGGAAACAGATTGAGACACTCAAGAACTGCTGATACCTAAGGACAGAGAGTATATCAAATAATCCTGAGACACTTACAGGTAAACATGTGTTTTCTCAATCACTACACACTAACTACCATTCCTTCAAACATTTCTTTTTATTCTTCTAAAGATCTGGGAAATGAAAGAAGATAAAAAGTGATTTTCCTCATACATGATTTTCCTCATACATGATTTTCCTCAAACATGTCAGAGAAATGTTTCTTTGACTGGGTTTTACAAAAATGACAGGTGAAATTCATGAAATCCAAACATGTCAGAGAAATGTTTCTTTGACTGGGTTTTACAAAAATGACAGGTGAAATTCATGAAACAGAAAAATAAGCCTGTTGAGAAGGAAAATATCTTAGTGGTTGTTGATTTTACTCACTGAAAGGCAAGTGTCTGGGCTGAGCCTCTCAGCAGGAACCCGGGAGGGATCCATGCATTTGTTGTGAGTTCCCCAGACATAAGAGCCAAGACGAAAGCAGAAGCAGCAGAGCCAGAGCCCAAGAACTGCTTGTTTTTATTCCTTTAGCCCTTATTTAGTCATTATTAGACACAATGATATATACTGAGAAACAAGAGCTGTGTATCCTGGCATGATCGTGTTGCAAACACATAGTGGTCTACACTAAGTCATGTTTGCATAATTGTGTCCCGTTATGACACACCCCTGACAGTGGGGTCATGTCCTTAAGTATCCTTAGGTTCCCTCAAACTTTGAGATCATTAATAGTGGTATCTCACAGCACATTTATTGAGACTCAAAGAAAGGAAGTGACTCTTTTGCTGGTGGTGACTGGAACCAAAAGAAAAAATGCTCAGCTGCATGTCTTGATCTAAAATAATTATGAAGAGGTTACTAAGGTCACATCTAACCACGAGTGTTCATGAAATCTATGAAGCTAGAATTACATTCAGGATTAAATGGCATACTGGTGAGAAAAAACTATTGCCTTTAGAAAATTTGTATCTACCTAAGGTCATTCTGAATCTACAAAACTGAGTCCTCCTGACTGTGGCTCCTCTGAAGACACACACATAAAAATAAAGCTTTAATGTCTCTCTCTCTCTCTCTCATATATATATATATATATATATATACACATACATATATATATACATATATATATATGTATATATATATATACACACACACATACACACATACACATAACATTTAGATATATACATGCACACACACATATATACATACACACATACACACACATAACATTTAGGAGAAATGTTAAAAAAAAAGCATCAAAAGAATGTTCATACACAGATAAGTGATTATACAGGACAAACGATTCCAAAACTGAAAGATTAACACCCTAACACCAAACCCCCTGCTGCATGAGCTCTTCTCGCTAGCCCACCCACACTCTGGAGTTCATTTCATCTTTTCTCTTTCAATAAATCAATCCCACTGCTACCCTTAGGTGCTCTGCTCAATACTTTACTTAGGACATCAAGAACCTGGAGAACACTCCCAACCTGGTAACATTATCACAAGAGTTTTCTCAAAGTGCATTTATCTACCTACAAGTAACTCAAGTTTAGCATTCTTTATAACAGAGTGCTACTCCATTATTTATAATAAATACCATACCTTCTTTATTCATTCATCTGTTGATGGACATATAGGCTGACTCCAAGATTTAGCTATTATAAATTGTGCTGCTATAAATATAAGTATGCCTATGTCACTGTAATATGATGACTTTAACTCTTTTGAGAAGATCCCTAGAAAGAGAATAGCTGGGATTTCTACTTTAGTTTCTTGAAGAATCTCTATACTAATCTCCATAGCGCTTGTACTAGTTCACATTCCAAGCAACAATGCAGAAGGCTTCCTTTTTCCTCACAGGCTTACCAGCATTTGTTATTATTTGATGTCTTGATGATAGCCATTCTTTCTAGAGTAAAATGGTATCTCAGTGTTCTGAAATAAATCTGTACACAAGCTTAGATACTGCATGGTCTCCCTATATGAGAAACCACAAATATAAATAAAATAAAAGATAAATAACAGGAGTAATAATAAATAGGGAGATTTTTCTCAAATGTGAAAGGGAACAAGAGATGAAAGGAAGAAGGGGACGGCCACGGAATGAGAAAAAAAATGGTAAAGAATGAAAATAGAGCTTTTGCCAATAGAAAGGGGACCAAGAGGTAGAAGGAGGTGAGAGGAATAGGAAGGGTAGGGGGTGAAAAGAACAAGTACTTTTTTATATGTATGTACCAACTTCACATGTTTAATGTATCCATATGTACTGCAAACATGTACTAGTAAAAAATAAAATTCTGTTCTATTCCAAAAAATAATAGCAAAACAAGAGAGATCTCTGAAAAAAGTCTCCTACTTCTGTTTTGGTCAATTTCTGGTAAACTCAACAGAACATTATGGAGACAGGAGGTTATTTATTCCAGTTTCTTCATTGGTCTGGGAACGCTCACAGCCATTACATTTTTTGGTGAATTTTATTAGTAATCAGTATAACACTTTTTTCTCTCTCTCTGGTTACTGAGGCCAAGCAACTGTCATGAATGACACGGTAACTATCCAGACCAGCAAATTCATGAGCAACTGATTATTTCAGAGGAAACACCCAAGAAGGTGTTTGGGGAAATTAGCCTACATATTAAATACCACACTATATGTCATCTTGTTTTTTGCTTCAGGATCCATTTTGGTGGTGGCACAACAATTAGCTTTAGCACTATTTATGCATCAAGGAATTATGCAAAGTAAAGGGAACCCAAGCATAGACTAGTAAAACATGGCCTGCATAAGAAGGAAAATATCTCAAGGAAACGTTGAAAGGAACAGAACACAATGAAAAAAGTCAGGCTGGGTGCAAAGACCAGTGTTGGTGCTGGCAAAAAGAAGGAATAAAGATTCTGCAACAACTTTATCTGTGGCGATTATGTGAATTTTTCATAAGATTAATTTACAAATTTCTTTAAAATCAGTGTACAATTTTACCCTCTGTCTCATTTTATCTTTTTCACCTTTAATTTCATTTTGTTTTTATTAATTAATGTTTTTACCTTCTTTTGGTTACAGTTTGCCTGTGACAATTTTTACCTAAACCTTGAATTAAAATTATTCTTCATTTTCATTTTTAGGATGCCTATTACAAAGAGCATATACTGGGTATTTAGTTTGTGACAAAATTTGTAGCTTACTTAGATAATCTCAATGTTTTAAGGTAAACTTTAACTCAATTTCAATTACTGTAGAGATATATTATCCAAAAGTGGTCTTTCTACTGTCATCTTCTGTGTGCTTCTGTTTATTATACTATTTTCCTCTTTGTTTTCATGTTTTAATGTAGATTGATCAAACATCTGTTTGCTTCCCTTTATCATTTTATATACTTAATTTATTCTCTTCACACACTTGTATTTAAAATAGACACAATATAGCAAGTTTTCTAATGTGTTAAAAATTAATCTCTATCTATTATTTACTCTTCCCAAACAAGATTCCCCCAATGTTTGATTAAACCCCACAACATTTGATTACAACAATATGTAACTTGACTAGTTCCAGATGATTACCAGTCTTTCTGCTACCTTTTCGATCTCTAAGGGAGCATTTCTCAGCAATTGGTTCAGTCACAATTTCAATATTTACACTAAGCTATAGTATTTACTGGCTTATTTTCTTACTATCATTCTTGAATTTCACACTGTCCTCTTTCTTAGATTGCTTTGTTTTTATACTTACTGGAGTGAATCTTTATTATTTTTTCAACAAACATTTTCAGTACACAGGTATAAATTCATAGAAGTGCACAGATATTAATTCTCTGAATACATTTAAAAGTGTCCTTTTATTCCAAATTTAGTGATAGTTTATATTTTTACAGAATTCTAGGTTCAAAATATTTTTAAATTTTCAATAACACTTGGCATAGTTTGCATTTCAAACATTTGATGAAAATATGCTCATTTCTTTGGAGATAAAATGTGTTTTTGTGAGCAGGGCTTTAGCTCAATGTCCCCAGCCTGCCTTGGAAGTGCAAGGTCCTAAATTACATCTCAGTACCAAAAAAAAAAGAAAAGCTCTTCTGCTTCTCTGAAAATATTAAGACTTTAGTTTTTATCCTGGAGTTATAACATTTCATAGTATATTTATAAATTCGTATCTTTTACTTTTTGTTTCTTTCCAACTAAGCATTCCGTATTTTTATTCTGAAGAAATAAATTTCTTTACCTTTGGAAATCATAATCTATTATCTATGGCTCCTATTATTTCTGTCTACCCTTGTTCTGAAAACCCTGCTCTAGTTTTATTTAATCTTCCATTTCATTATCCTTCTCTTTACTACCTTTTCCTTTTGGAAATCCCTATACGGCGGATTTGACTTCTTTTACTCTGTCCTCCAATCTATTAATTTATGCTTCCATCTTTTCAGTCTAGGTTCTGGGAGAATTTCTTGACTTTATCTTTCAGATCATTAACTTAGACTTCGGACAAATTTATTTTACTTTTTAGTACCCTTTAATTGGTTTTTAAAAAATTATATTGCTAGTTTCTTGTTATCTAGTTGCTGGTTTTCATGGCTGCTTATTCATGTTCCAAAGACACAATAACTGGCCAGGGATTTAGCATAGTGGCACCGTGCTTGCCTTGCAAGTGTAAGGTCCTAAGCTCAATCCTTGGTAATAAAAAAAAAAAAATGCAATAACTTCTTGAATCCCCCTAAAGATAATAATATGCTTTCTTACCACTTTTCATTCTGATACTGTCTCCTGTTGAATTCTATTGTTTACTTTGATCATGTAAAATGAGATTCCACCTCACCCCACAAAGAATGGCTGCTATCAAGAAATCACACCATAACAAATATTGTCAGGGTTGTGGGGAGAAAGGAACCCTTCTCCATTGATGGTGGGAGTGCAGACTGGTGCAACCACTATGGAAATCAATATGGAGAGA